TTGCGTACTTCACGTTCAGTTGCGTATTGCTCGCCGTAGTGTTCTAATCCCACGTTTTCTTTACCTTTGAGTTCAAAGCTCCAGCCACAGGTTTTGATTCTTCAGCAATGAAGTTTCCTCCGAAAGGATTTTAGCGAGTTTTTCTGCTCGTTTTGTGTTGGTTCTGATTGTTGGTCATCTTCTTTTGCTAAGTGTGGTTACCAGCAAAAGCGCAACGAGCATAAAGTATCCCTAAAAAGTATATAAAGTAAAAGTACGTAATATTTTCCACGTAGTTTCACTTCTTCTTATGTTTTTTTTTATGCTTTTGTTATGTAATGGTTGATTTTTCACATACACTTAAACACTCTGTATATCCATCTATTATAGTCATATGATGAGTTTTTTTGTACTTTTGATGGTTTTGTGGTTTGATACTTTACACATTTTAGTCTCATTGCACACACAAAACCGATAATAACAAGTGCGGTCGATGATATGTGTCCTCTAATGACTTGATGCAACACCGTCTTATATATACAGGAAATTACCCACTTTTGCACTTTACTTCCATCAAGATGGCATTATAGCCGAACAAACGCGAAACTTTTCGCCATCCCCACCCGCGCGCGCAGACGCGAAGAAGCGACACGGTTTGATCACCTCAAGCGAGACCCTTCCTCGAAAGTTATCATCATCAAACTCACTTTTAACCACACTAAACTATTAAACACACTAAATTATTAATTGAAACAATTAATTTCGGTAACGATATTACACAATTTACTAAACACGTTGGTAAAGAAAGTAAAAATTTTAAATTTTAATTTTTTCCTTGCTCCAATACCCGAGATAAATGTGTTTTTATTTTTATCTACGAGTAGCAAAGAAAGCAATTGTAATTAAATCAAACATTCATGTATAGCACGCGTTATGCAACGCATGCGCGAGTTACTTTATCTGCACGCGCATTGTGTTTCATTCGTCTGTGGAGCGAGTTATAATGTGTTGCACATGTTTTGCAACGCGGTGCAACGCCATGCCATGCAAATAGCGTTTTTATATAATACTAATACAGATATAATTAAAACATTTTGATTGTGATATTGTGATGGTTATGATCTGATTAATTTCTGTACAATTAATGTGGCAAGAATGATAAATGTGAAGCGGTTTATGAGCGGATGAAAAGTGCGCCATCTTTTTATTATCGTTTTATAGGTTATGAAGTGGAATAATATACAAGTTATAAACAAGTAGTAGTTATGTAATAATTGCAAGTAAAGTTTATTTTGTTTTGGTTTAGAAAAGTATGAAATTATTAGTTGTAAAATAACAAATGAAAAATTTATCCGGAAAAATTTGTTTTTTGCGTTTTTTTGATCGAAAAATAATTTTTTTTTTTTTTGATAAAATTTTGTCAAATTGTTTTTTACACTTAAAGAAATATTATCCGAAAGTTTTTTGTTTAATTTTTAATGTCAAAAACGTGTTATTTATCGGTTAAACTTCTTTATCCGGTTTTTTTCATCCGGCTCAACTTTTGTCATCAAAAAATTTTTTTACAAAATACATTTTTTCAATTTTATTCTGTAAAACGTATTTTTTTGCCGTCAAAAATTTTTCGTCCGGTTTTTTTTTTATCCGGATCAAATTTTTTCTTTAAAAAATCCGGTTTTTTACCGGTTATTTTCATATTGCCAAAATTTTATCCGAATTTTCTGTTACTAATTTTAATCTAAAAATTAGGTTTTTTTTATCCGGAATTTTTTTTTTGTAAAAACCGGTTTTTTACCGGATATTTTCATACTGCCAAAATGATATCAAAAATATTTGTATCTAATTTTTTCAAAAAGCTAAGTTTTTTATCCAGAATAATTTTTGTTGCAAAACCGGTTTTTTACCGGTTATTTTCATATTGCCAAATTTTATCCAAATGTTTCTAATTTTTTTCTAAAAATCAGATTTTTTATCCGGATTAAATTTTTTTGTAAAAACCGGTTTTTTACATTTTAACACATAATTTTTTGTCTAAAATCATTTATCCGGTTTTTTCTCAACTCTTTTCTAGTTATATCAGCATAATTACACTCTGACTGAAACTATGAAACACATGATCTCTTCCTATCGGAAAGTTAGCGGTGTTAACGGCGTCAGCCTCAATACCAAACTGTCATTACGTCCGTTATGCAGCAGCTCAACTTGAATAGCAATAATCATTAGCGCGTTGCTTTTTATTGCCTCATTTACGAAACGATTAATGAAACAGGCGCAAAAAAAATAATGCGGAAGCCACTTTTCCATCAACGTACGTGATTTTTTATAATAATAAAATAGAAAAAATAAAATAACAACAAATTAACTAAACAGAACTACAAACAAATCCAAACACAAAAACACAAAACAAATCTTTGATTTTTACAATAAAAAAAACAGCTTAAAGTAAACATGAATAAATTATTATAATTGCCAATGGTCTAAATATTGCTCTCAACATGGCCACTTCCGGTTTGCAGACATATTTACACACAAAACACATACGTCTTGCTGTTATATAAACGACTTTGTGGGAAACTTCTAAAATATAACATCAAGAGTAGTGGACTACTCTGCAAAGTGGAATACCATGAAGATTATCACTAGATACATTTATGGTCGACCGGTTTACCATTTGTGATCATGAAAGTCATGATGGTGTTCCTCGTGGTGTTCCTCGTGTTTATGCTCTTCGTGGTGTTCCTCATGAATTGGTACATACACAGGGTACTTGATATACTTGGGTACCTTCTTAATGACCTCATAGGGTACATGTTTGATGACCTCATAGGGTACGGGTTTCTCTACTTTTACCTCCACTGGATATGGCACTTCTTTGTAGACGGGCACTTTTACTTTTTTGTAGACTGGATACGGTGCGGGTACCTTCACTTCTACTTTGTAAGGGATTTTCTTCTCCACATGGTATGGTACGGGTTTATCCACGTAGACCTTGACTGGGTAACGTTTTTCCACCGTGTAGGGCACATGGACCTTTTTCTCTACTTTGACAGGGTATGGTTTGTAGACATGGACGGGTACCGGGTGATCTACATGAACTTTTACGGGTACCTTGATTTCTTTATATACTGGATAAGGTTTTGGGACTTTGATGTGTTCATAAACAGGGTAGGGGACTTTTTTCTCGACTGGGTAAGGAGCGGGTACCTTCACTTCAACTTTGACAGGGATTTTTTTTTCTACGGGATATGGGGCTGGTACTTTTACTTCGACAGGGTATGGTTTATCAACGTGGACGTGTACGGGTACCTTGACGATTTTTTCAACTGGGTATGGTTTTGGTACGGCGTATGGTACCTTGATTTGGACCTTGTAAGGAACAGGTACTTTTTTCTCAACTGGATACGGATGTGGTACCTTTACTTCAACTGGATATGGTACTTTCTTTTCTACAGGTACAGGGATTTTTTTCTCTACAGGATAGGGTACCTTCACTTCCTTGATGACTGTAACTATCTTTTCATGATGGTGTGGTTCCTCTTTGTGTTCCTCCTCTTTATGCTCCTCGTGTTTATGTTCTTCTTCTTTGTGCTCTTCATGGTGTTCCTCCTCAACTGGTTTCCAGTCATGTTTGACTTCATGTTCATGATGCCCTATATCATGATGTTCAATATGATGGTAACTAATCGCTGGTCCATGATCCTCCTCATGATGGTGTTCTTCATGGTGTTCCTCTACTTCGTGTCCGTGACTACCAGAGTCTCCAAAATCATGGTGGTCATGATGGTGTTCCGCATCTCGCTTGTCATGCCTTCTATCGACTCGAATACTGTCGACAAGAAGCAGGTGGCAGATGCCAATCACCAAAAACACCTACAAACACACCACACACAGACGTACCATCAATATTCTAAACAAAATCTTTATAAATTCTCAACTTACTGATCGCATGTTCACCGTTCACTATCGCTATCAGTTCTTGCAATGCGGCTGCTACACTTCGTATTTATATACAACTGTCACTTTCCCTTCGCGTCTCTTTGCGCACCGAAAAAATCTCCCACTCCGCTTAACTTGAGTCAAAACAGACAAAGACACTTTACAATCGGCGAAAACTAATTACGCGCCCGTGCGCCGCCCGGAAATGAGCGAGTTAGTGCATAGCGCGTCTTCTATACCAACTTCAATTATTCAATTCGTTGGTTCAAACACATTTTGGTCACAATGGCATTTGGATATATTGTCGGAAAGAAAACTTATTAGTGCAGTTATAATTGCATTCGCGTGACATGCGTTGATTTGCGTAAAATTTGCCAATTTGAAAGTGTCGATTAAAAACACACACACAGCATAATGATGATTGTATGGAAAACAACATAACCTAAAAAATTTCATAACCAAGCAAATCTCATTAGTCAGCAATGTGAGCGATTTTAAGTGAATCTTGTAATCGTAATCAGAGCTGCAATATGAAAATATCGAAAGGAGTAATAAACGCGTCACACGTCGCAAAAATCCGTATGAAAATTACAACCATACACTTTACATGCGTTACTTTTACTTTCCGTATTATAATGAATTAAGATCATTCGTTCGCTTAACAAATTACACTGCTGTTCGTGTGCGCAGAGAAAACCAAACGCTTTTCTTTCGAATAAGTTTAATGTCCGTAAATAAAGCAAATATAGCAATAATATACAATTACGGTGAACAAATGCTTGTAATCGTTATTGCTCTGATTGCGCAATCAATTTGTACAATCTAATCTAATTAGTTTCCGTCAGGTGTGAGGTTATGCACGTGCATAACCTAAAAATATTATATGGCGTTGTATACACTGTCAAATCTGTCAAAAACATAACCTCATCACAAAAATTATTTTTGATGTTTTTGGTATTTTTTCTTAAAATATTAACAAAAAAAAAACATAAGAAATTATTTTATGAAGAGTTAAGTGAGTTTTCACTTTTTTTCAAGCAACAATTCATATAAAATATTGTGAATTGTTTGTGTGCATGTCGCTGTCAAGTTTAAGTATGATTTGACAACGTTTTGACCTGCGCAAAACATGATTTACATAGTTGTGAAAGTAAAAATTTTTTTTTGTGATTTTGCTTCACATATGCAAGGAAATCGTTCAATATCTGCAATAAGTGGCAATTAAAGATAATTATAAATTACACAATGTGTTCATATTTCTAAATCTGGCAATAATAGTTTGATAATTTCAACTTTCATCTTTTTATTCGAAAGTTATTATTGATTACAGTGATTTCGGAGAAACCATCTCGTAAGATATTGATGTTAATGTTATATTTTTATTGTATTGCCTCTTCCTTGTTTTGTATCAGTCAAGACAAGATAAAATGGAAATGAAAACGCGTCGGCGAGTATATCGATGCAGGAAATTAAATCACCGGAAGTCAGCTTGTTACCGTTACTCTACTTGCGATTCTTGCAACTTGCAGCTTGCATCTCGCGGCATTAGTTATCTCACTATTCTCTGTACTCGCATACATGAATAATAATTTACCATTCTCTGCACGCATGCGTGAAAAGCACACGTTTTGAAAAATCAGCGCAAAAATTACTTTCATTCATGTTTCTCTCATCTCAAGAGCAAAATATAAAAGAAAACGATGACATTTTTCATTGGAGGCATTAGCATTGAAAATGTGACAAGTTCCGCGCATTCAAATCGAGAAGTGGAAGCAGAAAGAGAAATAAAAACTAAATTAAACGATGCGAGCATTAAAATGAAAAGCAGTTTACGATGCTATTACAAGCGACGTTTTCGTTTTCTACTCGCGCAGGCGATAACTGTTTAGTTTGACTTGGAAGTTTGTAACATCTGTCGGACAGTTGGACTGTTACTAACGAGTAATTACTTCTTTCTTACCTCTTGCGTCGTTAAGCGCTAACTTCTCGGGGACTTGATTTTCCATTAAACTGCTTTTTTAGACGCTCAAAACTGTAATAATCACATGTTTCCCAGAAAAATACAACCAAGAGTCATTTTAGTGTTGGCAAAACGTTAAATTCAAGAGAAACACGTAAATATTTTATGTGGCAAAGTAATACTGATATAATTTTGTTTATATTTTGTTATCGCGTTTGATTCTGAAGGCTGTGAAGCGTGAAATAAACGCGGTTTTGATTTTAATGCAAATAAATGCATTGCAGCGCCAGCTAGTAGAGAATTTGAGAATTAGTTGGTTTGTAGATTCTACTCGTGCGCTACTCAAGCAGCGTAGTAGAGTTCGTGTTTGTGTGAATGTGACGCACTCACACGGACAGGGGTGTCACTCCGTATAACCCAATGTTCTTTCACTGACACACATGCACTACACACGCACACCACTACACAGACCCCCTTTATACTTTTAAACTCTCAAAAACACCATGAGATGTCGCTACCATACACTTTTCAACTAAAATATTCTCCACGATAAAATAAATTGATTTTCCTCTGTTTAACAATAGAATATTGTTTATACTTACAACACAACTCATTATAACGCGTCCAATTAATGCGCTTTTGATAATTTCATGTCCGAAATTAATTACATCGTCAAAACGCGAAAGATAATTAAAATATTTTCAACAATATTGACATAATTGTTAATTACCAGTAAAATACACACTTGTGGCAATTATTCATCTGCTGATTAGTCTTGGAACATGACGAGAACATGCGATCGAGCACATTCGCACACATATCTGTCTATCGAGAGAAAAGCGTCGAAACAATGAAGTAAACAAACGACAAGCGTCTGCGGCGGCTAACGGCTAACCAGAACAACAACAACAACATTATGTAATGCTGTAACGCATAATGCGAACATAAATACCCATGAAATGCGGCACACATACGGAATGCAGCAACGGCAACATTTTCCAAACATAATTATCATCGTATTCTGCAGAAAGATATAAATCTCAAGCAAAAAATACACAAAAACAGAAAAATCTTAAAAACAAAAAAAAAGTTATAGATATTTTAAGTTTACGTCATAAATTAGTAACATACACGACTAATAAATGTTAATTTATGCATAAAATAACACAAAATTGGTTTTTAGAAAATATTTCATAAGAATAATCATGGTTATGCTACAATGCAATGTGTGTTGCCTACTTTGTGTACATTGTGTTATTGTCCGCGTGACCGTGAGCGTGTATAACCTATAAAAGCTTTTACTTCACGTCTATTATATCTATTTATGCATGAATTCAATAATATCAAGGACAAACATTCTGTTCGGAGTCTGCATAGAAAAGTGAATCGTTCTACTTCTTGTTGCTGACATGCTGACATTAATTGCAGTTTGTTAACTAACGATCACAACTACATAACCAATTTTCATAATGGTTGCTAATTGAGTTGCATGGCTTAAATTACGCACCGATTCACTTCTAATTGTTTTGGCATCAATATTCAATTTTTAACGATCTGACCTGACCGTGTACCTCGCATCATTAAATTTGATATTTAAGCATAAATAAATCCACAGACTCGTTGAAAATGTTTTTTTGTGTTTTGTGTGAATGTTGTATTGTTGGTTGTATAACTAACAATCATTTTGTTTGTTTGTTTTCTGTGGGAATTTGATTTTCTTCTTTTCTTCTTGTGCAATTCCTCTGGCACAATTCACACCTAGATGTGGCAAACGATGACAAATCTGACTTAAGTCCATTTAAATTTTTTACGTTACTTTATTTAAGTTAAGTATAAATTATACACATACAAAAATATCATTTACATTGTTTTCTTCTTGGTTATGTTCAATAATGTCCGTAATGCGGGTCATAATGATGATCATGAACCGGGTAGGGTACGGGTACCTTCACTGGATAAGGTACGGGTTTCTCCACAGGGTAGGGCACGTGTTTCTCAACGGCAACAGGATATGGACGATCATAAGGTACCTTGACTGGATAAGGCACAGGTTTCTCAACGGCAACACCTATCTCCTTGATAACAGGGTATGGTGCTGGTACAGGTACCTTCACAGGCACCGGGTATGGTTTCTCAACTGGATATGGTACTGGTCTATCAACAGCAACCTTAACCGGGTATGGTCTTTCAACCGGATATGGAACAGGTACCTGTTTGACTACATGAACAGGGTATGGTTGTGGGACATGTACTGGTACAGGACGATCAACTGGTACCTTCACTGGAACAGGTACTTCCTTCACTACTGGATAGGGTTGTGGAACATGAACAGCAACTTTATAAGGGACATGGATGTGTTTCTCTACTGGGTATGGTGCTGGTACTGGTACCTTCACAGGTACATGGATCTGTTTTTCAACTGGGTATGGTTGAGGTACGAATACCTTCACTGGTACTGGTCTCTCCACGTAAACTTTATAAGGAACATGGACGATTTTCTCAACTGGATAAGGTTGTGCTACTGGATATGGTACCTTCACAGCTACTTTGTATGGAATGTGTACTTCCTTCTCCACGGGGTATGGAGCAGGTACGGGTACCTTCACCGGGTACGGCACGTGTTTCTCCACTGGATACGGGATGTGTTTCTCAACCGGGTATGGAATAGGTACTCCTTTAACGATGGTGTGTACAGTTTCATGACCATGGTATCCTGGGTCATAGGCACCATGACCCAAAGTTAACCCACCGATGATTCCATGTCCGCCTTGACCCAGATGGTATCCGTTGTCAAATTCCGGTCCATAACCGTAGCCTAAACCCAACAGACCACGTTTTGTTTGTTTTTTATCATCCAGGGACGCCTTCTTCTCCTTCGCTTCCTCACCCAAGGTGATGGAAGCGATGAGAACTAAGAACCCTAGTATTAACTGAAACACACCAGAAGATTAGGAACTGTAATCACTATAATCCAATGCAGGTCACTTTTTTTTGTTTAATTTAATTTTTCACACTTGAAACTCACCAGTAGTTTCATTTTCGGACACACCTGGTAATCTACCAGTTCGAACCGTGCGAACTGTTTGTGGTTATCATCGGGGCTGGCGGTAACTTTATATACAATGCCACCACTTTACTTTCGCTTTCGATCTTCAATGGCGACTGAAAATACCGCGTTCAAGCGTGCAACCCAACCACCTCTACTCTCTACGACTACACATCCCAACTATTGGTATGGCACCTACCATATCGTACATTAATAGGGTTATACAAGCGCATACACTTCGATTCGTGTTACGTAGTCGACCGGCCAAGTCGTAGTCACGTTTTGCCCAATACGCATCTCTCAAGAGTTGGAATAGAATTCGTGAATTGCGAACAATGAGTAGCCTACCTGCAGTTTGAAAATGTACTGACCCGGCTGAAATATACGATTATGGCACATTTTATAGAGTTGCACCGCCGGCTAACGAGCGAGAAAGTGATTTTCTTGTGCGCGGCGGCCGCTAAACGCGCAAAACAAACAATTTTTCGCTCGTTTTCGAGTGTATCTCGTTTGTGGAGCTGCAGGCTAATTCAATTGCACGATGTTGCGCTTACGTAACTGTTACAGAAAGAAGCAACGTAGAAAATAAAACATACAAACGTTTTCCGTTCGTTTTGAGGTTAAATTGGGTTAACATATCATAACACAACTTGAAAACTATGCATTTTGTTTATTTTTATTAATTTTGAGGTTAAATTAGGTTAAAATATTAAAATTCAACTTAAAATTTAATATTTGAGTTATTTTTCAGTAAATTTGAGGTTAAAAGAGGTTAATATAGCATAATATAACATAAGAACATATTTTGGAGGATTTTTCTTTGTATTTGAGTTTATTTGAGGTTAAAATATTGAAATATAATCTAAAAAAATAGTATTTTAAGAAAACTAGGAACATTTATTTAATTTTCCAGTAATTTTGAGGTTAAATCAGTAAAATACACCATAATACAACCTAAAAATGAAAGATTTTAGTTATTTTTCATAAATTTTGAGGTTAAATGAGGTTAATATAGCATATTATAAACTAAAACAAATTTTTGTAGATTTATAAATTTTTCTTGGTATTTGAGCTTGTTTTAGGTTAAAATATTGAAATATAACCTCAACATTTACTCTTTCAAGAATACTAAGAACATTTATTTAATTTTCAAGTGATTTTGAGGTTAAATTAGGTTAACATATCATAACACAACTTGAAAATAGAATATTTCTTTAATTTTTATTAATTTTGAGGTTAAATTATGTAAAAATATTAAAATACAACATATAAAATGGAAGATTTTAGTTATTTTTGATTAATTTTGAGGTTAAATGAGGTTAATATAGCATAATATAACCTAAAAACAATTTTTTGGAAGATTTTTAAATTTTTCTTTGTATTTGAGCTTATTTGAGGTTAAAATATTGAAATACCACCTAAAAATTTAGTATTTTAAGAAAACTAGGAATATTCACCTAATTTTCCAGTAATTTTGAGGTTAAATGAGTTAAATACACCATAATATAACCTAAAAATTCAAGATTTTTATAGATTTCTTTTAATTTTCTTAATATTTGAGTTTATTTATGGTTAAAATGTCAAAGTATAACCTAAAAATTAAATATTTTGGTTATGAATCATTTTAGATACACATTTCTATAATTTTTCATTGATTTTGAGGTTAAACAAGGTTAATACTTCAAAATATAACCTAAAAACAAAATATTTTTTAATTTCTTCTATTTTTCCTCTCATTTGACCTTATAAACAGTTAAAATATGACAATATAACCTAAAAATCCCCAATTTTTACCTCGTGTCATCCCACGTGATCAAAAAATGACTCCGACACGTGCGAGACGAGAAGAAACCCACGTCACGTAACGCGCTCCATTACAAAACGAGCGTCAGTTGGCAAACGGACAGAAAATACAAGTTTATCATGATATGGCGAGGAAGTGCAAATGAAGTGGATGCGAAATCATCGTGTGCACACAAACTTTACGCACATTACACAATATTTTAATTAGCTGTTGATGTATGTATAAACTCTTATGCTTGTTCTAGATATTTCGTGAGCACAATTCTGCAATTCCAAATCTATCGCTCTTTGTGCCAGGCGGCGGGACAGTACGATCCGGCGGATTTATCAAGGCCATTGCACAAGTGCGACATATACCGGAGTCGTGATGCTGGCCGCATTTTAAGGTGAGTGTTCGATATTAATTTGATCTAAACTTGTTTAATTGATGACCCTTTACGCTCACAAATTGCGTTGGGATATAATCAAAGCCTTGACCTAGTTTAAATTGTTGGCGACGACAAGAAGTAAAAAGAAATTTACAAAATCACAACTTCCACAGCTGCGGCTATTAATACATGAGCAATAAATGATTGTTGCATGCGAAATAGTCCGGTGTTGCAGTAACAGTTTTACCTACTCAGTAGTAGTGCGTTGTGAGCTGCGCGCGCAGTCGCAATATGTATTATGATTAAGAAAGTCCGATTCAATTACACTAATTATTTATTATTACGATACAAGTACAAACTGGTTGTTAAACGGATTCTCTATAATTGTTTAGACTTAAGTAACTTAGGTTTTTTTTTGCGGGTTTTGGTTTTGGTTGGTAAATTGGGAAAAAATTATAGTGAGCTATAAATGTCAAGCGAAAATTACAAATTGCTACAATTTGATGTTCAATAAAACTGAAAGCGAAAAGTGATTTACTGCCAGGTGGATAATGGCTGCTTTTGTAAGTTTTTTAGACTTTTAGAGTCATTGTTTTGGTTGTGATGCTGCGAGCGGTGTTTCAACACAACGGCAATGAACGTAAAATTAACAACAACAACAAAAAAAACACAAATTGCGTACGCACATTATTTTTTCTATTTTTAAACATTTTTTTACTTCGACATTTAAAGCGTTTTTAGACAAATCGTGAATAAAGTACTTTAGTCACGACCTTTAGTCACGGGGCGGAGATTTTAATCAAACTCGTGACTAAAACACCATTTTAGCCACTTGATACTTAATATACTATTAAATTTATTTTTGCAAAAAATTAACTTCCGTATATTTATTTATTTATTTATAATTTTGCATTCACATATTGTTTATGCAATAACCACCAACGTCAAGATGCAAAACACGATAAGAAATGAAGATATTTTACTTTTACTTGTTTCTTATTGTTGGATTTCTTGTACTTGCATGACTTTCAAGTCTCTACATTACATTGATAAATAACTTAAGTCAACTTAACAGTTAACATTCAACATTCAAGTAAATTCACTCAAACAATTATTGAGCTAGATTTTTTGCAATATTGTGATCAAGGTTAAGATATACATTATTTTGTCGTTGCTTTTTCCTTTTGATTATCTTTCAATCATAAAAATTTCGTGTTCTTTGCAATAAATAATTAATATTTAGCAACATCCTTAATTTTTTTGCTGTGGCCATGTCAAAAAATGTTCAATGTTGACTCAAATTGCATAAAATAGATTTTTTTGACTTAAGTCAAAAGTTAAGTAAAGTTACTTAAGTCAAGAATTAAGTGACTTAACTTAAGTCATGTTTTAATTTTAATTTTAATTATGCATGAGTTAAATTGTGCAAGACAGGAATTCGGTAATAAAAGTAATAATAGTAATAATATCCGTTTATGTTAATATAAATAAATTATTTATTTAAATTAATTACAAGTGAGTGAAACTGCCTTAAACTAAGTTAAATACAAATGAAAACATTTAATTTATGTCTCTATTACAACACTACCAGAGACATGTTAACCCAGTTGACTTAAAATGGCGTCAAATTTAACACAAAACTAGTTTCACAGAATTTATTTATTTAAAAAATTAAAAATTTGTATGTAAAATCAATTCATCTTGTTTTTCTTTGTTTTTGTCTTCTCGTTGACGATGTTCTCTTTGATCTTTATGATCTCTATAATTTGTGTGATCTCGATGATATCTATGATCTCTATGTTGATGGTCGTAAGAATCACGATGTTTATTGTTATAATTATAATAATCACGATGGTCACGCTCGTTTTTGTATTTATTAGTAACAGGTCTAGGCCGTTTTCTTTCATGATCCACTTCCGGTTTCTTTGGTTGATAATTTTTCTCTACTTTATTCGACGCTGAATAATATTTATCGAAATCATTGTTTTCCGGTTTCTGTACTGTCACAAAATGTGGTGTATCATCACCGAGGTGATAATGTGGACCAAAATGAGGCTCTTCTATATTTTCCCAATTTTCCGGTTTAATTTCCGGTTCCGGTTTGGGTACTTCCGGTTTCCAATGATAATGATGATCAAAATTTTGGTAATATTCTTCTTCTTTGTGTGGCACATAAACCGGATATGGTTTATCCACGAATACTTTTACTGGAACCCTTACCTCCTTAACAACCGGATATGGATGTGGTATCGGTACAGGTATCTTCACCGGGACTTTTACTGGGACGTGAATTGTTTTCTCAACTGGGACTGGGACAGGTACTGGGACGTTTACTGCGACTGGGATTTGTTTTTCTACTGGGATAGGAATGTGTTTGATTACCGGGTAGGGTTCAGGGATACCTTGATAGAAGGTGATTGTTTTGTGGATGTGGGTTGTGTGACCTAGGTTGATTGCACCTGAAGGTAAAGGGGGATGTAGTAAAGGAGATGGTGTTGTGGTTGTTGTTGTGGTTGATAGGAAATAATCAGGAGGGAATGTTGGTAGGGTTAAGGTAGGTGCAGGGGTTGTTAGGGGTATGTCTAGGTTATGATCAAGGTAATATCCATGGTCGAATTTGTCACTGTATCCGTAGTTTACGTCTAGGGCAAGACCACGTTTTTGTACTTTGTCTTCGGATTGTTTTTCTACGTTTTTTAAGTTTTTTGATGGTTTTGAGTCTTCATTTATTGTTTTTGATGGTACCACTGTAGATGTATCATGTTTTGAGGTTATTTCCGGTTGAATTGTTGAATTTGTTTTATCTTCAGCTTGGATTTTATTAAAAAATACCAAAAAGAGTAAAAACCACAACTGAAAATCAAAAATTATTAATTTTTAAAGAAATTGTTGTTAAATTGTTGTTTACGTACCAAATTCATGTTTATACTGAAGAAGAAAAGATGCAACTGGTGATCAATGGTATTAAGCTACGGTTTTTATAAGATTTGTGCCATTTGTGTTTTGATATGTGCAATATTTGCATCATGATGTGATTTGACTGTCATTTGCTTCCTTTTTCTTTATTGCAAGTTTTTTTTGTTTGTTTGTGTTCATCAGGCAAATAAATTCGTAATTTCTTTCTGCAATAGCAAAAGAAATCAATTCTGATTTACATACTCGTATTTAGTTTGGTAGAATATGTATGAATGTAAATTAGAATAATATTTATGAAAAAAGTATAGATTTTGAGGTTTTGATAATTTTTTTTCCGTAAAATTTGCTTAAAATTGGAACACAAAATTTGTTATAACTCGGAAAGTAATTAAGATAGAGAATTGATTCTTGCTTAAAATGATAGATCTCAGTAGAAACTATAGAATTGATTTTATTTTTATTTATAAAAATTTACCAATTAACTATAAATCTAAAAAATAAATGAAAAAATTACGATTTTTTCTGTCCCAACCAAAAAATCAGAAAAATTGGCATAACTTTTAAACGAAAAGAGATAAAACAACCAATTTTGTATTAAAGGGTAGAATTCAATGAGATCTATAATACTATCTTGGTATAAATTTATTTAGAACTTTTAATTAAACATAATTTACTAAAATTTAACTGAAAAAACGTCAAAAATTGACATTTTTTGCAATATATCCACAAAAATAGCTCTATTTCCCTCAAAAACAAAATAAATCACCAAATCATCACTATAAATAAATGTCGTAAGAAATTCTCTATGTACTAATACCGTTTGAATCACTTTGTGCGGCAAATTGAAAACAAAATCTAATACAAATTTAATGCATGTATGAAGCAATTTCACTCTCGACGCAACTAAATGTAGATCAACAATGTGAATGTGCTCGACATCAATTTTCTTACGTATTCGTTTCAATCAAGCTCCTCACATGCGAGTGTGAGACGCACGCAGTACTAGATTACATTCACGCGCGTTCCTCCAGCGAATTTAATTGCCGAAGAGCGAAGACTGAAGAAACCGGAAGTACGCAAATGTGTTTTTTCTCTTACTCCACATATCACGTAACGCCAGCAATTTGTGAGAGTTGATGTGAAATATAAATCAATCGCATTACTACGTATTCGCCACACGAATGGCAATTAATCTGGTTATTTTAATTAAGTTTCGTTTTGGTTTGGTTTGGTGAAAGTGTAAGTGTCATAAATCAAAAAATCGAAAAAAAAAATTTTTTCTTAAAAAAAAATAAAATTCATCATGTAAAGAATATTTTTTTATTATAAAACATATAAATTAAAGATACAAAAACAAAAATGAAGAATTATTCGATGTCAAGTCAAGAAGAAGAAAAAAGACACACATTCTCAGCATGAAGAAGCGCACACACAGTGTGGATCACAATTATAAATTATCTATTTAGTAGTGATGATCGTAGTGGCCGTGATGGTCGTGATGGTCATAGTGGTGATCATGGTGTTCGTATTGATGTTCATGATGGACATGTACCGGAATAGGTACCTTCACTGGAACAGGTACTGGTTTCTCAACATGGACCGGAACATGCTTGATCACCTCATAGGGCACAGGCCTGTCAACTGGTACCTTCACCGGGTAGGGCACTGGTTTCTCAACTGGTACCGGGACTTGCTTGTAAACAGGGAAAGGTTGTGGTACAGGTACCTTAACTGGAACCGGGTATGGTTTGTCCACTGGGTATGGTACTGGACGATCAACATGTACTTTCACCGGGTACGGCACTGGTTTCTCTACTGGGACTGGAATACGTTTTTCTACATGGACAGGGTATGGTTGTGGGACATGCACAGGGTATGGACGATCAACTGGTACCTTTACAGGTACTGGTACTTCTTTGTAGACTGGGTAGGGTTGTGGAACATGTACGGGTACTTTAACTGGGTATGGAATGTGTTTCTCAACAGGGTACGGTTGTGGTACGGGTACCTTGACTGGAACATGAATGTGTTTCTCGACTGGATACGGCTGTGGGACCAGAACTTTCACTGGATATGGTTTATCCACGTACACTTTGACTGGGACGTGCACTATCTTCTCAACCGGGTAGGGTTGCGGCACTGGTACTGGTACCTTGACAGGGACCTTAACTGGAACATGGATATGCTTCTCAACGGGGTACGGCTGTGGAACGGGTACCTTCACTGGGACTGGAACATGTTTCGTCACTGGTACCGGGACGTGTTTGTACACCGGGTAGGGTTGTGGGATACCCTTGTAGTAAGTAATGGTCTTCTCCACATCGGTATGGTGACCTAGGTTGATCGGGGAGTAATGATGATGATGGTCATGATGATCATGATGTCCAAAGTGTTCAACATGTCCGTGATGTCCACCAATTCCAACATGGTATCCATTGTCGAAATCACCGCCGTATCCGTAACCCAAGTCGAGTAATCCACGCTTGGTTTGCTTCTTATCGCCAGCGTCAATTGCTTTCTTCTCCTCGGCCTCGGCACCAAGTGCCACTGCAGCGAGGACTAAGATCGCGATGCACAGCTAAGGAAAGGATTACCAACAATATAATGACTTATCTTAAATAACACAAAATTGCACTTAACTCACCAATGGCTTCATAGCTGCCTCGTGTGTTTGTTCTGTGCGTTCAAGAAGTGAACTGCTTGTTGTCGATGAGACCCGGACGGTTTTTATACCTCCACATCACTTTCGCCACCGTCGAGCGCATACTCATGGTACCCACCTTCTGTCTCCGCTGTGTCTTTCGCCGTACCATGAGTGTGTGTTGTGTTATTCAATAGCGCAAATGTAAAATGTAAAACGTAAAATGAATCGAAAAACTTAAACATCACACAATAAAATTGTCATACCATGTTCATGTGGTGCGTTCATGCATCAAAACAACGACCTCGTTGTGTTTTACACAAGACCTACCATCAAACATGTCTTTTGTCTTCCTATGAAATTAATTCGCTTTATTTCTATTTTTAGTAACCTAATGGAAAAGGGATCTTCTTTACCATGGGCTGACACATTGTATCAAGCTACAGGTGAGACCCGGATTAGTGGTGCGGCTTTAAGGGAATATTTCCGGCCTTTGGAGGATTGGCTCCGAAATGAAAACCTACGCACACAGGAATACGTCGGTTGGTTGTATGATGGTGATTATTGTAAGCAAAGCATCGAAACAGCTGGTTTGCAAGTGTATGGAGGGTTCTATAACTCTGCACCTCAAACTGTCAATAGTAATTTGTTGGTTATGTTGTGTGTGCTAGGGATTATCACGTGGAATAGATATTGATTGTTTTTTCTCGTTTTTTTTTTTTTGAAATTAAGTAATCCGGTTCTTTTCGCTTTCGGTTGTCGGTTTTCTTCTTGATACACATTTCGTATCCGCTACACAAGTGTAACAGTAACATATGCGGCATGTCGATTTTTCGGAGAAAGTTTTTGTCAATTTTGAACGTGCGCGCCGTCAGGGAATTTTTTTACGTCTATGTCACGCACCGCACTTGTAATTATTTGCAAAATCGTGGAATATTGCACAAGATATTTGTCAAAACATACAAATACATCCGTTCAATTAACTTAAGTAAGTAATTTAAGTCGTTTAAGGTCACCGGGTTTTTTCTTCTTTGACAATACTTGATTGTTTGATTGTTTTTTTCATTTCTAACCTAAATTATGCTCTACTTTTGTAAAAATTAAAAAAAAATTACAAATTGCGTCTGCCATCTGTTGATCTATTGATTAATTATAAAGTCTTGAAATTTAAATCGTTTTGGGAGCGAAATTAATAGATACCTAACGAAATTTCTAAAATTCTTAAGCAACTAATAACGGTCGAAATTTTCACAAAACGCATGCCACGGATGCTGGCTGAGAGCCCGAAACTAATTCCGGTCTTTAATATTAAGTCTCCGAACGTTTAATTATAGTGTTACATGAATACGAAGCATTTAACTATTTTTTGTTGTTCACAAAACGCCGAAAAAAAATATACAATAATGTTAGACACGCTTTGTTGAACATGTTTAGTTGAATCAATAACGATTGCAACGCGTGAGTAAACACAATTCTTTTTAAATAATAATGATTTTGGTGTAAGTGTAAGAAATAATTGTATATGATATATAAATAGTCATAGTTTAAGATAGAATTTTATACTTTTTATTCGCTTGTACTTGTATTATAATATAATTTGTTATTAAGTGAAAATAAACAGAACGTAAGCAAAACGTGCGTGGAATTATACTCATTATATTGCCGCATCGATTCCATTGTTATTATTCTAGAAGGAAAATGCAAAAATTTATAAAGAAGCCGCTGTGTCGCGGTGTTACTTTCACCTGAAATCGATGTGTGCCAGTAGGCAACCTTTGTCACCGCATGAATGACACTTACAGATCTCTGTAATATAAAAATCAAAGTCACAGTTTTTATTTTGTTAATAACTCATGAACCGGTCGACAGATTTTGATCAAATTTTGTTTATAGTTTGATCTTATCACTGACTATCAGAATATATTTTAAAACATAAAAATATTTATTAATAAAAAGTTATAAGCAAAATGTAATTTTTATTAAGGTTATGTTATATTTGACAAAGTCGATAATGCAGAAAACTTTTTTATTTTTAATAATTAATATTATAACGAGTTTTATTGATAAATAAATAAAATAGTATTGATTGATGTTTTGACCTTGATTTAATATTAAACAGCAATGCAATTTATTTTACATCGAACAAAAAAAACGTAAATTGATTGATGCTGTAGCAATTTGATTGCGGAGGAATCTGCTTTGGCACGATTGTGCGCTCGGATTTTATTATTGATTATTATTGTCGATTACGCACGACCGCGGCGCAACAACATTGCGACAGAAAAGGAGCTCTCGTGCGAAATTTGCATCGCGCACGTTTTCTAACGAGACACGACTTATGTTTACTATTTTCTTACATGCACACACTCATAGACAATGCGCAAATGTTAAACTTGTTTATTTATTCACCTTTCAATCGATCTACAACGTTTATTTCCATGATTTTTACATAAAACTACATAAAACCGATAAAAAATTTTTTTTTAATGTTTTAATGTTTATTTCTAAGATGTTAAACATAAAACAAATAAAATTCAAGTAGAAACAACAATGGGACACGTTTTCTTGTGTTATTTTTGCGCTGCTTGCTAAATGTTACAAATTGCGGCCCTCAATTGATTCAATTATCAACTTCCTAGTCCAATTACTCGACTGATAGAAGTTGCTTTCTATTATCTCAACAAGCCACTACATCTTCAAACAAATCCACCGCAGTATTCGCTGAAGAAGACGAAAATTAATTTTTTCTTTTTTACTTTTTGATCTTAATGCAAAGCAATATATTATTACGGATTATCTGAGCGCTTTGGACGATGCGATATCGAAATGCCATCGCAATACTTTCTCTTATTTATTGGCGAATTAGTCCGGCGTGGAATTCGGATGAATTCGTTGCTTCCTATGCGCTGTGTGAACTCGTAAGTTAATTTTGTTTTAATTTCTCGTTTCGACGTTGGACAAGCGCTACCGGGTGACATTTACACGCAAAAATGTTAAAAGTATTATAATTATATTTCTATTTTTTTTAGTTTTTTTTTTAATTATTGCATAATTGCAATTAAATTGTGGTGAAATACGAGTACAAGTGCATTACACAAATTCAAAATGGTTCATAATTTTATTACACCGCAATTAATTGCTTCATCGTCTAACAAATGTTAAAATTAAAGCAATCGCATGTGAATTAGAACTTTAAATTTAAAGTTTCATTGAATATTGAATACAAAACGTTAATTAACTTAATTATTGTTTTGGATATTATAATAACCGAAATTAATTGAACTGAATTTATTATTTACAAATAAACAATGGGAGATATTCACAATTAAAAATTAAAATGAATGCAGAGCTATTCATGTTGCTATGTATGCAACCAAATATACATTAAAAAATAAAAATTTAGTTTCATCTTATTTTCTCATCATTTAAACATGAGTAGAGTGTAAATATCCAAATTTTATGCCGCCATTAAATTTATCTACGTCACAGCACACAAAACAAAATGGTTCACAGACATTTCGCGAATCTCTTTCTAAATTTCAACATTCTGCGAGTATGATATATATTATATAGCACACAAACAAACAGTAGATGTGAAGATGTATAATTTGGCAAGAAATAATGTGTGACTGCTAATTGAATGCGATAATTAAAGAAAAGACTTGATTCTCATCACATGAATCAACATTATTTCAACGTAAGCATAACAAAAGCTTTTATTCGAATGTCGAACGTAACTAAAACGTGAATTATTGATTGTATCTACATTGGAATACTTCACAAGATAATAATCGTTTCCTCAAGAAAGTACTTACTCTAGTTATGCAACCCAAAATACTTTTTAACATTTTTGACATTTTTAAAGCGATTTATGCCTAAAACTATATCTAAATTATGATAAAATATACAAATGAGTAATAATTTCGTATTGGGTCATTAAAAATGTTACAACATCGGCGCCTGGCTTGTGTAGATGTTGATGTGTGTTTCAGTTTCAAACGCATGAGAACGAGAAGATGGCCGCCTGCGTGCGTGCGATGCAATGCGACGCAATTATTACAAGATATCATAAATCAGCAGGTAAGAGCTATTAAATCTGCGTTGCTTCCTCGTTCATTTCGTTCGCTGCGAACCGTTTCACATAACCCACACCGCGGCTCAAAACCTTTTTGCGCTTCGATTCGTTCGCTGCATTGCAAAATGATGTGTTTTCACCATTCACAAGCGCACTTAATGAAAAACCAGTTTTTGTTCGTTTTATTCATTGATTATTCAATTAGGTAAATCTAGATTCACACTATTAATATGTATCAATCAGTTATTAATACTATTACACACATAGATGGCGCTGGTGGATAAAATCTCCATTTTGATAGCAATGGAATGGAATGAAAGGCTTTCTTTCGAAAAAACACTTCGACGTTTTGTCTCACATCGCAGCGAACAAAAGCCTCATTGTCTGATTATTGCCTTATCGTTCTCTTCGCATCTTGGGAGCCACAACGAGCTGTATTAAATGATTGTGTAACACTTAATCGAATAATTTCGCGGTGGCCGATATAATAATGGATCCCATGATGTTTCATTTGTTTTATTTATTGTGTTTATTTATGGGTAATGTGTGTGTGTGGTGAGTCGAGCGTGACAAAAGTTCAACTAATGGATTAAATTCACTAATATTAATAAATTTGAAAGTTTATTAATTTAGAGTGGTTACAAACGTCGTAGAGAATTGGTTTATATGTCATTTTAAAGAGAATTTCATGGAGAATAAGTGTAGTTAAATTTATAATTTTATTTTAAATAGTTTTTGAGTTATTTAATAAAATAGTTAGGATTTTGCGAGTTTTGATAAAAATTTTGAGTAAAAATTTTATAAAAATCGTGATAACTCAAAAACTAAAAGAGATAAATCAATGATTTTTTATATTTTATCTTAACATAACCTAATATACCTTAATATAACCTAACATAACCTAAAAATTAACTTTAAAATGTTTTAAAGCAGTTTTTATGTTTCAATAATAAAATGTAATTCTAATATATTATCAACAGCTCTTGAACATATGTAGTGCAATAAAGCTGATGATGCTCAGAGAGCTATCGAAACAATAACATCCTCTTG